AAGGCTTGTAAAGTAGCAATCTCATTGTCTTTTTTTTTCATTTAGTTGAAATTACTTTGAAGTAAAACATTTTTATTACCAAGTGAAAGAGAAATGGAACCATTTAATGATATTTTCAATGTGCTGGCTGAAATCTTGCTTGAACTTGGTAACAGGCCAGAAAGGTTCTCAACGAGGTTCTCTTTCTGCCATGAACTTCATTTTAAACCTACACTTTAAAACCTCTAAAGGTCAGAAACAGAATGGCTTCAATGTCAATAAGGAGACAGTTGAAGGTGCATTGATTCTTTGCACAGAGTTGTTGCCCTTGGTTTCCTTCAGTTATTTGAATCCTAGATTCTCCACATTATGATCATTAGTTGTGTTGGCATCATGCCAGGATTCGCCAAGGTGTTATACAAGTTTTCCATTGGTCTCAGGGGGGATATTGGTTGATGTTATTTTCTGAGCAGCAAATATATCATTTATACACCAAATACTATTGAAGGTATGTCTTATACATGCTACCCGTGAAGATCCAGGTTAGAATTTATCTTCAGTAACCCATGCTTGTCGTAAGAGGCGACTAACGGGATCAGGTGGTCAGGCTCACTGACTTGGTTGACACATGTCATCGGTTCCCAATTGCGCAGATCGATGCTCATGTTGTTGATCACTGGATTGTCTGGTCCAGACTCGATTATTTACAGACTGCCGCCATATAGCTGGAATATTGCTGAGTGCTGCGTAAAACTAAACTCACTCTCACTCACTTTTATACATGCATCGACTGGTCTGAATCAGTAAAAATACCACTGTGGCAAAATAGCAGATGAAAACAAACTTAAAGGTACCCACCCCCTTTGATCTATTTCATCTGGAAAATATTGTAAATATCAGGAGAAAGGCAACTTACATCATTAATTCAAGATACAAAATTGTTTGGTATGTTACAAATGTAATGCCAATCAGCCAATCAGAATCAGCCATTCATGTGTGAGGTGAGATAAACATTTATGTCCTGCTTCATTTACAGATTTCCTTCCACACCAACCCAACATGACATGGTAATACAACTGGAATAATGTATCAAGCAGCATTTAACCCAACACACTCATCCTGCACTTACTGTCAGTTATTAATTCCAAATGTAATATTCTTTAATCTCATGTACTGGTAGTCAGCTTATATAAAGACATAAATAACTTAGTATATTGATTGTTTGGGGGAATCAAATTTCCAGCTTAGGATATAACCTTGATTATAACCCAGTTCCATTGTTCCCATATTACTCAGTGCTGACATTTGTTACACAACTAAATGAACAAAAGATCGGGAGAAAAAACAACAGAAACACCTGTCTTTGACCTGACATTTGAATAAAGAGCATCCCTTAGAACTACAGTGATAAACATTAATAACACTGGACATTTACAAGTTGTGGGCAGGGAGATCCATGTGTCAGACTTGTCCAGGCCTCAAGGGCCACATTAACCCTTGCCCATTCACCAGCTGTGAAGACTGGGACTACCTCAATAATTAATTTGACCAATCAAGTAATTAATCCCGCCCATAAAACACCCAGGACTTACAGGATCCTGAGTTATGAGTGATAAGAATATAGGTTGACAAATGTTACTGGGTTGTTTGTTGATTGGTGTTTGTTTCAGTATTCATAAAACCTCCGTACCTGAGAACAACCAGTTTCGATCGTTTCCAAACAGGTTCCTTGAGCTGAAAAGGGCAAAGCTGTTAAATTACATGAATGGATCACTGAAAATCTTTGACACAAAATATTGGTAACAAAAAGGAAATGTTAATATGTTGTATTGGTTATAATTTCATATCCAAAACTGATATCCAAAAGATCCTGATATTTTATTGTCAGTACATTAATAGGATTGAAGTTAATACCTATAAGGTTTCAATGAGGTTGAATTGTCAGTTATATGTTGTGTGATAGTTTCTGTACCTATACTACTCAAAAGAAGTAAAGGCAAGCCCATTTTTTTCATATTACTATAGTACCTTGACACTCTTGCAATCTGAAAGAATTAGGTGCTTCTGTGGGGCGGTGGGGTAGCCTAGTGGTTGAAGCGTTTGCTCGTCACACCGAATACCCGGGTGCGATTCTCCACATGGGTACAATGTGTGAAGCCCATTTCTGGTGTCCCCCCACCATGATATTGCTGGAATATTGCTAAAAGCGGCGTAAAACTAAACTCACTCTTACCTTCTGTTGATGTCAGTACTGTATTGTTATATAAACAGTGAACTCTGCTTCCAACAGATACTTCTTCTGATAATAGAAAGGGGTGTGTCACAGAGGTATTTAGAGATCTGTTGACTCATGCTATGGTTTTCCTCCTATTGCAGGGCAGAACAATTCTATTTATAGTTTAAAATGGCCCCACCCAAACAGAAAATCTAATATCCAGTATGATTGATGTTAATTGTTAGATGTAGTGGTTAGAGCATCCGCCCGGAGAGCGGAAGGTCGCAGGTTCGATCCCCGACCGCGTCATACCAAAAGACGTTAAAATATGGTACTTGTTGGTCCCTGCCTGGCGCTCAGCATTAATGGGTACAACAAGGACTGGTCGGCTCGGAGTCATTATAATGTGTCTGAGTGGGGTATTCATGCTTCACTGCGGCATGGTATCTCAGTGGGCTAGCACTATTAAACCAGCTTCAGTCTGGGCTAGTACAAGCAGCCGCGCATAAACATACACACGCATGAACATTGTCATATGAGCGAAATATTCTCAAGCACGACGTTAAACCCAATTTCACCTCACCAAATTGTTAGCATTCAATGTTATCCTTTCTGACAAGTGTTAACAATAATGTACCCTTACATGTTTAAATATATTCTTATAAATTTAACTAATTTTGGTGCAACTGACTTTAACTGGTTATGTGCATTGAAAATCTGTAAAATACAAAATATGATTTGATGTATTTTCGTAGGATTACTGAATTGTTTTCGTATTGTTGATTGTTTCTTAATGTCATCCAGTGCTGTTTTAAACATGTTTCCCCAGAACCTAATAACGTATTGTATGCTATTACAGTAATTAGATCCTTGGAGTTCAAATAGTACATGTTAATTTTTAGTTTTAAACAAGATTTGCCTGATTACCTAGCAGTGAAAACTCCATTACAACATACAGCATTGGTGTATGGATAAACACCAGCTGGAAATACAGAATTCAATGTGTAAACTTTCGTTCCTCAAGCTGACAAATGATATCATGAGGTGTGACACTTAACAAGAATTATTGCATCTCATGTCGATTTCTAAACAGGACTATTTTCATTCTTTGAACAATAGATATGAATATTTGATGACCCAATGAGCTGTACAAAAAGTGGCGTAACTAATTGTAGTGACTTGGCCAATGAGTACGAGTCTACAATATGCATGTCTTCTGTTTTGGTTGGGAATGTAATCTAGTCAAGAAGAAAATTTTCGTTCTGCACTGTTACACTGCTTAAAGTTCAGTGTAACGTGACAATTGTTTTTGTCCATGTGAAGTTTGTTCTGAGGCTTGTGGGATTTCTCTCATTATAAGGATGTGTCAAAGAAGAGTAATTATTAATGAGATAGGTATTGTTTACTGGAGGGAATGACTAAGACAGTTGCATGGATACTTGCTTTAGTAAGGGTTGGGCCTTGTTTCCTATTCATAATTCACTGCCACAATTAGATCATTCATGCTTTCTTAAAGATCTTAGCTTGGAATGCTTATTTGATGTACAGAGAAGAACAGAAGAATTATCATTACACCTGATACAATACCATGAGAAAATGTTGGGTAGGTTTATTTTTACTAGTACCATTCATTGCCATGTTTTGTCAGGTGAACAATTGACTATCCTTTACGTTTGTTTATGACAGTACCGGCAACTATTGTTATTGGGTGATCAGACACGCTGACTTGGTTGGCACATTTCCTTGTATCCCAATGACATAGATTGATGCTCATGCTGTTTGTCACTGGATTGTCCGGTCCAGACTCAGTTATTTACAGACCGACGCCATATAGCTGGAGTACGGCGTAAAACTTAAACTCGCTCACTATGACAGATGCCAACAGTGGGGCAGGGTATGCTTACCTTTTTCAATATAGCATGTCAGTGCAAAAGAATACCAAATTTTGACTATCATCTGCAATAAATTCTGTTTGGGGTGAAAGGAACAAATTGCTCTGAAATCTTTATTAAAGGATCATTGAAAATCAGCAACACCAAGTGTTTATGAAAATTCTAAACTTGTCCTGCCTTAATGGTAGCACCTGCCATTCACAAAATTTGTCTAAAAATGGATGTCACTCAACGGTACTCTTGTGATGCAATGGAGGCCTGTAAACAAACCAGACAATCAAGTGATCAATTGACCAGAAAATCCAGAAAAATAACTTTGCAAAAGAAAGCTTATAAGTAAAGAAAAATGTGATTCATAAGCACATGATCAGAGATTTCTTATGGAACTGGAAAGGCTCTTGCCGCTTTTATTGACCTCTACACATGGCGAAAGCCCTAGTAAGAATTGTTCCTAGGAGCCTTTGCTCATCGTAAGTAGTGACTATGGTCTGACACTGTAACTTGGTTTATTGTATCCCTTGTGTGAATTGTTGCTCACAATATCGATCATTTGTTGAATATTTACAAGCCGCAGGCCTGGATCAAAAATATTGCCAAATGTGGCATTAAACAAGAAACAAAGTACACATTATACTCGATACAATACGGTTTGGTTTTATGCTGATGTCAGCATTATTGAGATCATTCATTGCGACCTGGGTTCAGTGTCTGGGTTCAGCAGACCAGGGGCCGTGGGGTAGTCTAGTGGTTAAGGTGTTTGCTTGTCATGCTGAAGACTCATGGTTGGATTCCTCACATGGGCAGATTGTGTGAATCCCATTTCTGGTGTCCCCTGCTGGAATATTGCTCAAAGCGGCGTAAAACCCAACTCACTCACTTTGGTTTGGTAAACCATAATGTAATCCAATGTTTTCATACCATCATTTTGTTAACTTTTTTAAACCTTTTCTAAAATGTGTAGAAATCAAATAATTTTGTCATTATCTATGCATTTCTTTGCTAGATGGCCGCTATTTTCCCAGAAGTAAGTTCTCATGTACCAAACCGAAACAAACCGAAGGCCTTGTACCACAATACGTACCAAACCATACTGTACTTTGGTAAGGCGCGCACCGTTTCACCCCTATCTAGAGAACACCTAAATATTCATCTCAAATAAGGAAATACTACAATTCTGTTTAATTATGAAATAGCATGGTGAATGGCACCATCAGATTAAATAATGTTATGCCATAATTTGAACCATTGTTTGCAGCAAGCATGACATTCTGGATATCTTTTCTGACCCAAATTTTCCACAATGAGAAACCACTGTACAAACATCTTATACACAAAATAGTTACATGGTTTGAACATATTTTTCTTCAAAAAGCATCCAGTCCTTTGGAAACTACTTGTAACATGCTGGAACATGTCTTTTATGTTTTGCGATCAAATAACATTTTTTAAGTCAAATAATTTACATCATCTTTGATCATTTGTTAAATGAAGTATTGTCAATAAAACAGAAAATATCAACGTCAGTGAGTCAGGTAGCTTGAAGCCTGACATGACTGTCAAGGGTTGAAGTAGTAAAGTCATTGCTCCGTCAATTTACTTATTCCTGGGGGCATTCTGGGATAGAATAGTTCCACAGTGCTTGCATAAAATCTCGCTAAATTGATTGGTATTTCGCTCTGTGTGAGCTGGTTGATCGACGGTCTTTGTACCATGATCATTTGAATCATCAATTGCTTGACACTCTTTTCCTTGTTGATTATTTAAGGTGAATGGGCTAGCCTAGTGGTAAGTGTTTGTCTGGAGTGCTGGAGATCTGTGTTCGAATCCCCACACAGGTTAACTCATTTATCACTTATTTTATTATTGTCGGTCTCATTTTCTGCCTTGACGCTGCTTCAGTATTGTCAAGGGGCTGTGGGGTAGCCGAGTGGTGAAAGCATTAGCTCGTCACACTGAAGACCCGGGTTCGATTCCCCACATGGGTACAATTTGTGAAGCCCATTTCTGGTGTCCCCCCAACATTGTATTGCTGGGATATTACTAAAAGCGGCATAAAACCCAACACTCGCTTGCTCACTCAATATTCTCTTTCTCTCTATGGGTATATGAAGTGATTAGAAGCTGTAATTTAGTCAACTGCTGCATAATCTGGGTTAGAAATGGGAACCAACAACGTTGGCTTGTCACATTGAGCATCTTGGAGGCTGACATGGTTGATGCATGTCATTGTAACTCAACTGCATAGATCAACGCTCATGATGTCAATCACAGGATTGTCTGGACCAAATATCAACAGACCCATGTCGAGAGTGATCTTAAGCAACAAATCTGATGTGTAGATATCCACCAACACTGTAGTACAAAGTATAGTAATGTAAGTGTAGTATGTAAAGGCATGTTTCACACACTCATAACTTCATGTGTTGACAATGACGATCACAACCAAGAAGTACTCCATGTGAAAACTACAGGTACATACGAGAACACTGAAACTGTTAACAACACATCTACACAAAACTGCCATCATATAAGCTTCGTCACTGGCTTTGTCCCCTTTTCAACATCAGAGGTAATGATATATTCCTTTCTAAATGAGCACAAATTATCCTGAAAAGTGTTTAGTCATTTGGAAAGTCATATAGGCAGTTAAGGTATATAAATGGGCGCTTGGTTGGCAGTAATATTTATGTTCTATGTTCTGTGTGGGTAGAGATGATTTGAAGTTGTACCTCACTGAACACACAATTGCGTTTGGATTAAGTAGGGAATAGATATGTTATGGTCCATGACTGAAGGGAATATGCTAGAACATGTACAGTATAGTTAGGGATATTTATATCCTCATTCAGGTCCTTTATGTTCTCTTTACTAGCCCTGTCTGCGTTAACAAAATGTATAGATACAATGGTTCCAACTTGCTTCAGATTGGTCTTTATGAGCGAACACAATGTTCCAGTTTGAATATCATTTAAAACAGACTAGTTGTTTTGGTTGTCTCATTTTTAAAAGCGACTACAATGGTAGTCAATATGTAAAGGCGTATACAGCTGTTACAGGCTGTACTGTGTGACCCAGTGTATATAATCATATAGCGCCCGGGTAATATGGATGTAACATGGAGTAGTCACTAAACATCATGAAGCAGTTTCATCCATGCAGACTCAACACTGCCACATACACGATTCACTTGGATATTGTACATATGGATGTGTAAAGGTTGGTAAATAGGTCTGATTTTTATTTACAGATTTTTAAAGACCTCTGTCATGGTGACATTTGATGGAATGAATACAAACACATGACTAATGACAATCTGACCTAGGATTCGTACAGGATGGAAGCTGCAGTTCACCAAAATATTGCTAGAAATTATCAAGTGTGACTACAAATGTAGGGATTCAGGGCTAATACAGACTGGCTTGATTTTGAGTATCAAGAAAATCTACAAATTCCCTAATATGAATTACATATTCAAATCATGATTTTAGTGTTAACAACAGACTCGATTATTTACAGACTGCCGCCATATAGCTGGAATATTGCTGAGTGCAGCGTAAAACTCACTCACTGACTCAGTGTTAACAAATGTGATGTTTTGCAGAAACAACTTGTATTTCACTTATAACAAGGTCAGTACAAGAATGAATAGGTAACATTTCATTCAATGCAATGTTAAAATACATCTGAATTCATAAAAATGTAAACTTTACAAGAAATCACAATTTCAATACAAACTACTGATGTTTTCCCCAATTTGTCAAATACAAATTTGTCCTGAATGCTGTTGTACAAAACGACCTTAGCGCTAAGAGCCTATGTTAAGGTATTGGAATTAGGATCACAGCACTAAGATTGCTTTGTACAAAGGCATCGTGCTATATACAGGAAGACATGGTTCCATGTTTGAAAGTCTTACCAATTTCTTTTACAGGTATAAACAAGGGTTTGTGCATAGTATTCTCTCATTGAAGTTTGCTCTCATTGTTCTCGGTGCTTTTATGACAAACTGTAGCAGAAATTTCTCTGCACATGACAAGAATAGGTTTGGGTACAGTGTATTGGAAATGCATGTGTACAGTTGCAACCTTATGACTGTTACAACCTTTAGTGCACAGACTAAAACAAAAACTAAAAAAACTAAAAGCACAAAACACTACTTTTTAGGTTAGATTAGAAATTCCAGTAACGTGACATGCAATTTTCATTTGTCACTGGTGCCTATTATGGATTCAATTCAGTAAAAGTGAAGTTAGCTTCAAGGTGGACTTGGGTATGTGGGTACTTAGTATATGTAGTACTATACATAGTTATGATAATCATGGTCCTGTCTAGCTATTCTCAAAACGTTCGTAGCCCTACGAACTTCTTAAACCAATCCCTAACACATTGGCTACGTTCAAAGTTAAGAATTCTTAGGGTTACGAACATTTCGAGAATAAGGACCCTGTGTTGCAAGTGGGCTGTGGCTGTTTAGGTGTCATTGTATACCAAATGGCATGGTTTGTAATCATACGATCTACCACTAATAAAGCATATGACTTGATGGATAGCAACTTCTTTAGTGTATAGAGCAGTGTTTCATTGTAGATTCTTATTCCATTTCAAACAATCTGTGCGTGCATCAGAGGGCTATAAATATAATAAGTCTGTACTTATAGCTTGAAAATGGTGTAAGAATCTACACCAAACTGTCGCTCTATGCAATAAATAAAAAGTTGTCATCCGTAAAGTTGCATGCTTTATTACTGACTCGCCAACTTCCTCTAGTGAGTGAGTATAGTTTCACACCACTTTTAGTAATATTCCAACAATATCATAGTGGGGAACACCAAAAATTGGCTTCACACATGTGGGGAATCAAACCAAGATCTTCGGCGTGACAAATGAACGCTTTAAATGTCGCAGACTCAAAGTCAAAAAGATCATACATGATTTGTTTTTGTAACTTTTTCCTCAGAAACAATAACACGATAATCACAAACTCAAATTTCTAGATATCAAATTTTAATTGCTTCCTCCTGCTGCACTGACTGTCATCAGATTTGCCTGAATCAACATCCGTACATATTTATTGTCAATTCCAGCTCCTCAATAAAATATTTTCAAGGAACACTTCAAAGATGCTGAATTGGTATTTTATGCCACCTTTCTTCTGCACGATAGATGAATGATCATCTTGTGCCAAATTGTGCCAACTTTCTTAATGAAATGGAATAAAAGTCAAACATGGGGAGCAATTTATGTCACCATCAAAGGTATATGGTAGAATTTCATATGAACATTCTTTATTGGAACATAAATTCATAATGAAAAGTTATTTGAAACCTGTAATGAAAGGATATTTGAAACCTGTATCATTTTGTGATCAGGTGCTAATTATACATCAGCTATTCTTCCTTCATAGCACTACTTTTAATGTAAAAAGTTTCATTCCTGAGATGTAAAGAGAAATGAATTCAATTTTTTAACAGTGGAATTATTTCTTCATTTGATGTATGGCATTTTAGAAACATTTTGTTTTGATATATGTTAACCCTTTCAAAACATTGTTGTGAAGATCAAAGGGTGCTGGATGGTTTGATATCATGGAAAGTTGAAACTGCCTTCAGGTATTCAGAGACAGAAGATGTTTGTCCATGCAGCCTAGTCTGTGTCACAGTCACTAAACTGCATTATTTCCCCTTCCACTCAGCCCTTTCTGCAATGCTAAAGCTCTAACTGAAGCAAGTCTAGATTTCCTCAGGTTCAGGCCTGAATCTCCCAACTCTTTTTAAATTATTGTTTCTATCTAAATTATATATATTCAGAGACTAAGCATTAGTCTACAGGCAGACCGCACATTGGAACTAAATAAATTGATAAACAGTGAATAATTTCATCTTTGAATGCAATCTTTGTCAGTCCAAATATAACATATGTTACATATATTAATTTTGTCTTGTTCAAACACAGCTATCACCAAAATGAACTGGTGTACAGCATTGCACAAGCTGTCAACTATTATTCACACACACTGCCATAATAATGTTATGTAAAATTCTTTAATATTAAATGTTCCCCTATAATGTTTGTAGAAGGCCTCACAATTCACATGTGGCTCATCCATTTAGTTTTTCACAAACACAATTTGTGGTTGTCTTTAAGTGGCATTTTGAAGTGATACAGATAAGGAAGAGAGTTTTGTGGATGTCATCTTCTTTATTGTGAGGAACACAATGTTTCAGAGTATATCCTTACTCCATTAGGTGATCTCTTCCTCACAATGTTTTTTTTTATAGAATTACAAAATCTTGTGAAAACATACACCATTAACAGATTAGGGTTAATTTCAACATAAGGCTTTCATTTCTCCTGTTTTCGTGTAGACTAATGACATTCTCCCCACCAACTTTAAGACAATGTTGAACAAATGTGTAACATTTCGAGTCCCTTCTTGGAGGATATGGGGCGGTGGGTAGCCTAATGGTTAAAGCGTTGGCTCGTCACGCCAAAGACCCGGGTTCGAATCCCCACATGGGCACAATGTGTGAAGCCCATTTCTGGTGTCCCCCGCCGTGATGTTGCTGGAATATTGCTAAAAGCGGCGTAAAACCAAAACTCAGTCAGTCAGTCTTGAAGGATATGCAGCCAAACCAGGATTTAGAACTATAAACAAAAGTTGCAAGGGTAATTAAGTTGACTGACCTGTCAGGCCAAATTACGACTGATTAATGTAAACAATAGTATCATTACAAAAACAACTTCATCCTTCCTGAAGTTTCACCTCCAGTCGTAAACCTATCATTATCATTAGTACTGACCTAATTACAAAGCTAACCCAAACAATGATTCTAAGACACTTTTATTGCAGTAAGTCATCAAGCATAAATCACACTGCTCTTCACCCATGGATGAGCATGTCTTGGGGTACAAATAGGTCTCTTTGTTGGTTTAAGGGATCTGACCAGCTCTACCTAATGAAGCTAATTGGTATAGTGTAGTTAGGGTACTATTGTTGTTCACTTTAATAGCTGGTGAAGTTGGAGTGTAGTTTATAGTCCCCAGACTCCCAAGGGCATGTTCATGAGTCCAATCTGAATTGTACCCCCTTAGGTCTGTTTTGAATCTGTGTTCTTGACCCTTGTCCCACCTGTGCATTGGCCATCCAGAGAATTTATGAGGTAAAGTCCTCTGGAAAATATTTAAAGAGTGTCAGAGTGAATAACTTGTTTTCATTGATTTCCTATGTTTATCATGTTTGATTTCCTTCGGCTTGTATGTTTATGTATTTAATGCTTTTGTGTTTTGATTATATCAGTAGCTGCACAGTTAAAACTGATAATGGCCTTACTGGTCTTTCTACTTAAATATACTACTCAGCTTTAGCTAAGAAACTAACCTAACTATTTTGCTCACAGCAAATGTATAATGCTTAAATATTTATATCTTTCTGTGATTTGATAAGTTGACACACTAAATCAGATAGCTGAGTAGACTAACACTTAGTCCCTGAATATATATAATTTTCATAGTAACAAATGAACCCATTTAAATTGAGAAGGAGCCCCAGTGAGTTGGGATATTCGGGAACCTGGGGAAATCTAGACTTGCTTCATTTAGGGCTTTAGCATTGCAGGGAGGCATTAGGGCAAATAATGTGGTTCAGGGGCTGAGAGACAGATTAATAGCTGAGGTACAATTGAGCATGTTCATTCTGTGAATATTACTCAGAGCACAAGACAACTCTTGCTCTAAAATCTTCAAGCCCTCAGTAAAGATTTTACACTGTTCTGTGGTAGATATGTAAAAGACGTGCCCAAATTTGACACATTAGTAAAACAAATGTGCATTGCAATTCCCCATTTTGACCAGTACCAAATGTTCCTGTGTTTTTGCAGGTGAATGATTTGCCCTTGCATGTGTTTGTGATGGTTTCAGCCCACATAGCAGGATGTGCTCACCTTTTCACTGGCACTGTGTATTGTCACTATCTTATATTGATTCATAAAAACATGCACATGATGCAGCTACAGCCATACAATCAATTCAGCTTTTAGGAGAGATTTCCTTTGGTGATGGAAACAGCATTGTCACACTTGTATTTTCATATAAATCCATTAACTTTCTGAAAGTGACGTACGGTTGTAATCTGTAGGTGTCTAAATCATAAACATTTATCACTTCTGATACAGTGCTTGATTTTTATGTGTCTGTATTTCTTGGATTTCTGATCCTTAAAGCAATTTACAAAAACGTATGAGGCTAACTTATTATAAATCGTATATGTTTCATAATGAAATAATGTTTCAATTTAGTAACTTTGGTTTTATCGTCGTTTGAATGTCTGATTATCTTGGGATTCTCTAAAAGACAAACAGCAAGGTTTAAATGTTTGTTAACGCACTAAGAAATATTCTAGGGGCGGTGGGGTAGCCTAATGGTTAAAGCGTTAGCTCGTCACGCCGAAGACCCGGGTTCGAATCCCCACATGGGCACAATGTGTGAAGCCCATTTCAGTCAGTCAGTCACTCAGAAATATTCTAGCTATAAGACATTACTACAACTTGCCTGCCACAGTAACAGATTGTTACAATTCATCCATGGCAATACTGCAGAAACTCCCTCCAGCTTGCTCTTTTCGATACATAACTGTTTGGTTTCATTGTCTGAACAGGTTTCATCTACTTTGACAGGCATTTTAGAAGTTGTAAAGATGAAGGAAAACCAAGTTCTATGGATAGTCAACTTCTTTATTGCAATGAATGCGACATTACGGTGTTGATACTAACACCGTTAACAAGCAAGTTAGTATCTACACTGATATGTCGCATTCATTGCAGTCAAGAAGTTGACTATCCACAGAATTTGGTTTTCCTTCAGGTTTCATCTACTTGATTTTACCATGACCATTTAAGCTTTTTCAGGAACACCTGTTATCACTGTTGGATAGTGATTCAAAAACACATGCTGTTTGTACAGTTGGAACAATACAATACACTTTTAGCAGAGGTTCCTTGTGATTATGGAAATAGCTTTTATTGCTATTATTTACATGTTATTACTACTGTAAAGAAACATAGCACACAAAAACATTCCACACATATTTTTTGCCATCAAACATACAGCACAAGATTACCACAATCTTTATTCATGAATGGGTCTGTTTAGATAATATTGGACATGGGACTTTGGAAATGAGAGAATATGAGGAAGGTTAATGAACTTTGTTAATTTAGTTACGATGAATGGTTACTACCATGTGACATCTATGAATGTAATTACTGTAAAAAAAGCTTCATGTTTCCTATAAATTTCCATACAGATATGCAAGTGTGTAAAAGAATCAAAACCAATTTCAGTTTATTAACATTTGATGCTGAATCGCAATACTTGTATTTGAAGTTTCTTCAAACGTGGAAAATAATTTAAATTCTTTCTCAAAGGTGAAAATCAATGGATTTTCATTTCAAACATATTTCAGTTTAGAAATGTCTTCCTCAGATGATAGTACCCAAGGCTGTAGTTTTCTTTATCACTTAGTGAGTCATAGAATTGGAGCCTGGCATTCCTCAAAATCCCTTTCAGGACAAGACCATCCTGATATTTAGGCCAACCTTGGACAACTTTATGACATCAAAATTATGATTCCTGCAAAATATATGAAGCTAATTTCCATGTCAGCATGAGCTTGCATAAAGCTTGCCTTTGATTTATTATGACAAAGCTAATTATGATTTCTTCTGAACTCAGCAGGTTTCTTCAAATGCCATCAAAAAGAAACTGTTGCCTAATTACATGTGCTTGTAGCTTTTGTTGGAAGCCTTCCTAACGATCGAATCCTAAACATGAGCAAAATCACTCTCGATTATGTGTTTTTCAGGAAAACCCTCTCAGGAAATTATTGATTGTTTTGGACTTAGCCTTGAAAGAGCACAAGGTGCTTCCTTGCGTTGCTTAATAATATTGATGAATTTAATCACTACAGTGTCTTTTGGGATTGGGATTTGTTGATAATTAATAAGCTGATGAAAGCTCAATGTTAACATTGTAAGCTGTTGAAAATCTTAACATGGAAAAACACTATGAACATGAATAAATTTCACTTTCATTAATTAAAAAAAAAATACACGGCTGCAAGACCCTTTCTATATATAAAAGCAGAGTCGATTGTACGAATCCAATAGGGCTGCAACGATTTGGTTCGATTCATCGAAAATCTACCCTGACACCTTAGTTTTGATTTTCAATAACCATGATCACTATTTCGATTCAATAAATTGAAACAGCCAGAATGTCATTTTGACTCCAACTCAAGCAGTTTTGAGCTTTGAAATAAGGTGAAACAAGATTGGTTGACGCTGGGCTAATTATCCAATGAGAATTGTTGTTAGTAGACATCACCAAGTTGATGGATTTGACGCTAAAAAGCCAACTCTGAGAGTGAAATGAAATATGATGTTTTTACTTGTATGAAGAATCAAATCGAAAATGATCGAATCAAGGATCCAATATCGAAAATCGAATTGAGGTCTGGTGAATCGTTGCAGGCCTAGAATCCAAACACATCATAACCATGTGTTGATAAATCATGATGTGATGATACCAGGAGCTAGTGAAAGGTAAAATTAGAGCAACAGAAATATTTCTTGACAAATCAGAATATTCAGTCAACAATAACACAAATTTAATTTCTTACCAAATAGTTTTAATAAATGTATTGTAATATTTACAAAAATAGGTTCCTGTGTTACACAGAAAGAAAATGATCCATTAAAGTGTGAGCCTTCTGTAGACTAAGCTGCACATCAAGATCCCTTCTAATGTGATGGAATCACACTGTCGTGTCATTTGAAGCACGCAACAAATCTATAACTCACACATAACATACTGACATTTCGAAGTCGCAAATATATTCCATTTCTTTTTAATCTTCTTAAAAAGGAGTCTTTTGTAAGAGTGGACAACTGAAATCTCTTGTGTCCATCACAGATGCCACACAGACAGAAGGCTCAGATGTTATGACATCAGCAACATCTTCTCTCCTATTAACAGTACCTGAGCCCCTTCTGAAATAACGAGTGTGGCAGAAGTGAAAGATGTTAGAAAAATCACATATTCCTAAACACTTGATAGAAATAATCAAAGACAATGCCAGGTTTAGATCACACCTGTACAGAATCCATTGTCTATGTGTAAGCTAATCCAAGCATGAATCATTACTGTCACCGCATTACCTGTCACAGGTAAGACCTCAGGCCTTGTCTCAACAGGTAATCAGCTAGTCTGGGTTTCTCTCCTCCCCTCTTCATTATAAGTTGTTATTGAATTAAATATTTAATGGCCATTAGCACAGACATAAGTCAGTTTGCTCACCTGCTGACCGGACACTTAATTGCTTAGATGACTTCATTAATGAATTACTTTGATTGCACATAGGAGTAGATAATAGAGCTTTGCACAGGTAAAGGTCACTTGTCAGAGGATCTTGGATCTGTGTGGATCTACTGTCAGTGTTCGTGGATTTCACATGCTGAGGAAGTTGGATATAAGTGGACTGTGAATTTATCTAGTTCCAGCAAACCCAGGTAGTCTGATAGACACCTGCTGCAGTTATATAAAGGTATGTCTATATTATTGAGCTTGTTCTCACCCAGCAAGAAGTGATGGCTACATCCATATTTCACATCGTCTATGCTGCAACATTATCATGTTTATTTTGTTCTTGTGAGCTGTCAGTGAGATTAAATGAGTTGAGGCAAGACTCTTTATTTCTAGTTTCATGGATAAATATATAAAATTCTAATTAAAATAGAGAGAATAGCAAGTATTGATACAAATTCCATCAGGTGTTTTAAGCAAAAGAGTGGTAAAAATGGGTAAGCATTTCCAGGCCTTCCTGCAGCACCCACCACAGTTTGCATAAAATAAAACTGATCTGCACTAAATTTTTAAAAAATGAAAAAAAACTACCCCCAGTTTTGTTATTGATTGTATTTCCTAGATATCAGGAGGGATGGGGTAGTCTAGTGGTTAAAGTGTTCGCTCGTCACGCCAAAGACCCGGGTTCGATTCCCCACATGGGTGCAATGTGTGAAGCCCATTTCTGGTGTCTCCCGCCGTGATATTGCTGGAATATTGCTTAATGCGGCGTAATGCTAAACCTACTCACTCACTCCTAGATTTTTCCATCGCCTCGCAGCATCTTGACAATCAATCCATGAAATGAAACAAATTGATTTGGTCCTTGCTACTGAATGCGTTGTAAACCTTGTACATCTACAAACATGAACATAAATGAAGGTTTCAGAAAATGTAGTTGAAACATACCACAATTCTTTCATAGATCATTATCTTATCTAAATATACATGATCTCATTCTCACACAATTGATGTCAGATATGACCTGAGTAGACTCCTGAAGTTGTGCTTCCATTTTGTGGGGATTTCTTCCTTTCATGTGACAGGGGTTTAAATGCCCTTTAGGCAATGTTTTAATACACATGACAGGCTTTCTATTACTGTTGCAAGTATCTCTACTTCATATTATTTTTTTCCTTTTGCCTTTCTTGGAGGTTCAAGATAAGACGTTGATTTACTTTTGCAATGTCAGCTGTTTAGTGCAGTATTTAGAAATCAGAGTCAGATGGAAGTGTACCTCATTCCACAAAGTGATCCTTGCACAAAGTTGACCATTTCATAGGAAATTATCAAAATCAGTGCTGGTCATTGACATTAAAGCATCCAATGGGGGCTTCAGGTTTGAATAGGTTCCAAACAACCTATGTGGCCAAATCAGTTAGTTTGTCTTTAGGAACTGCATGATATCATACACCAAGTTTATGAATTAATGCATCACAATATCAAACATTGGACTGTCTAGTCGACAGCTTTACACAACTGGGGCAGTGGGGTAGCCCAGTGTTTAAGGTATCCGCTAGTCACGCTGCAGACCCGGGTTCGATTCCCCACATGGGTACAATGTGTGAAGCCCATTTCTGGTGTCCCCCTCCGTGATATTGCTGGAATATTGCTAAAAACAGTGTTAAACTAAACTCACTCACTGGATCAAACAATCCAGTGATCAACGGCATGAGCAGCACTCTACGCAGTTGTGGTACAATGACTTCATCAAGTCAGCTGGCCTGACCACCTGATCCTGTCAGTTGTTGCTTAGTTGATTGCAAAAACCTGATCAATCCACTATTTTTTATTATATATCACATTACCAGTTTGTGAGAGTGTTAGATCCTCCATTTGGATGTTGGAAAAGGCATGCATAGGAGGAGACTATTGAAAAAATATGCTCATAGTTAAACAAAACTTCGCTTAGAAAAGTAGATCTTAGATAATTGGCAGTTAAATTGAATTAAATAGAATCCCTTGGTTTAACTTACCTTAGTACTCAAACAGGAATGGATTATTTTACGGTCACCAATTTGGTGTGTGTCAATATGTCAAATGGCGCAGGGGCGGTACGGTAGCCTTGATGGTTAAAGCGTTGGCTCGTCAAGACCCGGGTTCGAATCCCCACATGGGTACAATGTGTGAAGCCCATTTCTGGTGTCCCCCTCCGTGATGTTGCTGGAATATTGCTAAAAGCGGCGTAAAACCAAACTCACTAAGTCAGTCAAATGGCGCTATGTGCTGGAGTTCTTTAACCTTTTTAAACAGGATGCGCTTCTTTAGAGAATGATGAAGGAAACAATAGTTCCTTGATTGTATCAATATGTATCTAATGGACAAAGGGTGTTGTAATCATCCAGTGCATGTGTGGAATGAGCCCCTGGACACTATTCATTTTAATGAATTCCTTAAACTTGTCACTCGTGCCATGATGGAAAACTTGAAATTACTCAATGTCCTTTGTTCATTTTTAAATCCCTTGAAAAGTCAGATACTTTTGTATCAATTTTATCCTACATGTAAATTTCATTAACAATTTAAACCTTGGTGTTAGATTTTCATTTTTTCTTTTAGTTGATTGATTTGACAGTTTGGGTTTCTTTACGAAGACAAATCCATTTCCTCTGTATAATTGAACCAGCTGAGAATAAAGTGAATAAGGTCCCTAAAAAGGTTTTGAAAATTCTTTGAAGAAGTACCGAAATAAGTTTTTGGTTGGTTTGTGGTGCTGTGATTGTCTAAACGACATTGAAAACTCTTTGATTTCTGTTTAATAATTCATGAACTGGAAAAATGTTAAATTGAGAACTGAAATTTGTATGTTGAATTTTACTTATCTGCATTACCTTGTACATGCTTGTTGAGCCATTGACATCTGGATAATAGAGAATCAATATTTGATTTGCACAACAAGACACACCCATTGAATTGTGTCACTGTAACTAGCAACTGTTCTGACACATGGGCAATATGGTGACAACATGTTACCAAATATAAAACCATAATAGCCTTTGTTGCTGTCATTTAATGGATATTGATTATGGTCTTGGGGCGAAAGCAACTCATTGTGGTTAATAAGCAGTGTAGAACTCAGGTGAAACTGCAACATAATATATCATATTTATGCTGATTTTTGTTCATATACATCATAGCTTCCAGTGCATTAATTCTGACATGTTGGTAGTCATCGATAACCTTAAACTTTACCCTTTGTATTTAATATGATGCTTGAAAGGCTGAATTAAGTTTCATTTACAATTTAGGGGTGGGGGTAGCCTTGTGGTTAAAGTGTTTGCTCATTACGCCAAAGACTGGGGTTTGATTCCCCACATGGGCACAATGTGTGAAGCCCATTCCTGGTGTCCCCTGCCATGATATTGTTTGAATATTGTTAAAAGCGGTGTAAAACTAAACTCAATCATTTACATTTTTTTCACCCATCTTTTCACAAATATGACAGTGATGTAGGACATGCTAGTGTGCTGTGAAGAGTTGCCTCCCTTACTCATGCCAGGATTAAATTATTATAAATTCAAAAGTCATCAGCTTGACACTGTATGTTCAATATTTGTCAGTACATGTCTACCCCTGAACATCCAGGCTAGAATTTGTCATCAGCAAGTCATGTGACTCGTATTAACCTTCTAGCACCTCACAGGCAGCTTGGGTTATCCAGGGTAATGATAAGCAGATTTCATTTGTGCACTTTGAGCAAGATATGAAGCCTTCTACATTAATGAGGCCTGAATCATTGTAAATTTTACCTTCCAAGGTACACCTGACAAGCTTTGATACAACTAATACCATTCAAACTGGCATTAGTCCCACTTTTTGCTCCATGTATAGCAGAAAAGGTTTCAGTATTTCAGTCCTGAAGATGGGGCGGTGGGGTAGCCTAGTGGTTAAAGCGTTGGCTCGTCACGCCGAAGACCCGGGTTCAAATCCCCACATGGGTACAATGTGTAAAGCCCATTTCTGGTGTCCCCCGCCGTGATATTGCTGGAATATTGCTCAAAGCGGCGTAAAACCAAAGTCAGTCAGTCAGTCAGTCCTGAAGATACTTACATCAGAATATTTTGCTGGCAAAGTTCCTTTGAATCACTAATAAAATAGATATATAATCAGGATTTTGGCTTTCCAACACCATCCATTCACTCACTTGTTAAATGATGTTCATGTCTGTTAGGTATTGCAACTGCTTTGAGATGAGACAATGTAGGTATTCTGATGAATCAATTCCTAGATGATCACCTAGAGACTGTTCCTGTAAATTCATAGTTAATGAAAAGAAAAAAGTGATCATTCAAGCTAAAACAATGTCACTTTTCTCCTTCTTAACAGATAGCAAGTTCGTGACCATAGCGATATCATTCGCTTGGGTAAAAGATGTGGGTGCTTATAGATGCTTATATTCAGTTATATACAAATGTGCCAACCTCTGCGATTCTATCATAGTCACTACAAATTTTAGCCTTAAACTACGCCAATACGATTGCACTAGAAATTCTATAGAAGAAATTCATTAAAATTATATATAGACAAAAACATATTTTTGTCCATTAAATACGTTTTTGTCAAAAATATACGACAAGAAGAAATATAATGCTTATAATTTGGAAATCGGCTGTTGGAGGTATGTGAAATTAAAGCTTCACTCCAATTTTAGCCTCAAACTACGCCAATACGATTGCACTAGAAATTCTATAGAAGAAATTCATTAAAATTATATATAGACAAAAACATATTTTCGTCCATTAAATACGTTTTTGTCAAAAATATACGACAAGAAGAAATATAATGCTTATAATTTGGAAATCGGCTGTTGGAGGTATGTGAAATTAAAGCTTCACTCTTCATTAGTGTCATTATCTTTCTCAGAATCAAGTTTTAAGTATTTAGGTGACTACTAATTTTATGGTCAAACTACCAATTTTGATCCTTGAAATTACTTTTTGCAACACTTTGGGGTTGGCATCTCTGCATTCAGTCTATTCCTTTCATAGCATTAATTAACCCATAATAATACATGAAAGCTTGATCAGTTGTTTGTTTACTTCAGGTTTGATACAGCCCTCGCTTATTTAACAACTATCGGACCATTACGAAAAGAAAAGAGTCTCTTCACCAATCTTGACTTTGTTGATGACCATAATAAATATGTACTAGTTCTTGGGGCAGTAGGGTAGCCTAGTGGTTAAAGCATGCACTTGTCACGTCGAAGACCTGGGTTCGATTCCCCACATGGGTACAATGTGTGAAGTCTATTTCTGGTGTCCCCTGCTGTGATATTGCTGGAATGTTGCTAAAAGCGGTGTAAAACCACTCACTCACTTTGTTCTTTCTAACTTAAATTTCTGTTTTGGTGTCATATGAAACTTTGGTTTAGTACAGAAAGTGATTCAATTGTTTACAAAAATCCACAATATCCATACCTAAAATGTGTATCTATTAGTATCTTTTAGCATAGCTGTTTCATAACCTTGTATTTTTTTATATCGCCTGTGTATCTTTTCTTACTTGTGCAGACCACCTCCGTGGTGTAGTGGTTAGAGCGTCCGCCCGGAGAGCGGAAGGTCGTGGGTTCGATCCCCGACCGCGTCATAACAAAAGATGTTAAAATATGGTACTTGTTGGTCCCTGCCTGGCTCTCGGCATTAATTGGTACAACAAGGACTGGTCGGCTCGGAGTCAGTATAATGTGTCTGAGTGGGGTATTCATGCTTCACTGTGGCGTGGTATCTTAGTGGGCTAGCACTATAAAACCAGCTTAAGTTTGGGCTAGTACAAGCAGCCGCACATACACACGCATGCACGTCGTCATATGAGCGAAATATTCTCAAGTACGACGTTAAACCCAATTTCACCTCACCTCACCTTACTTGTGCAAGGCACAACCCTGAGTGTCTTAACTCTGTTGGACTGATTGCTCTGAGGAAATTGTCTATCAGTAACAATAAATGAAAAAAGAAACTATTAATTTACATGAAGTCCTATTGAATCCAGCCCACTCACTTTCAGTTGTCAGGGAAACACTACATTTTGTTGCTATCTCAGACAGTCATGACCAGTAGCCCAGTCAGCTGTGAAGATATGACAATATGTTTAATTGAAAGATGGTTTTCTTCTAATCCTTTACTCACAGAACATCAAAATATTCTATTTCATGTTTACCTCGCATTTGTCTGCAAATTTTTATTGCCTTGTTATTGCTCAAGATTCAAAACTAATATTCAAGAGGCAGTCTCTAGATGACAGACATTGGAGACGTTTCCACTTTCACTCTGCAATTTCTTTTGACAAATGTCTCAAACTGGCAGATTTATTGCATTATTTTGTTACAAATTAGATACTTGTCACAACATTCTATTTCCGAAAATGGCTGTAAACAAGGAATTCTTATAAGCAATATCTGAAAATAATATGAACAAATGATCTTTGAAAGATTTTTCCCTGAAGACTTTTTCTGAGGTGGAATAATTCTCTTGCATACAAAGCAGTTTTTCAAGTCCACTTAGGAAAGCAACATTTTATCAGCATTGAGAAGCTGGAGCATCTGCAGACATAAAAATCCACAATAATAATAAACCCACTTGATCTATTTCAAGAGAGACTAATGAAGTCTTAAGGATGTTTTCGCGATACCTTAAGGTGTTTTTGCTGTAACTCTAATCCTGAAATCACACGAACATGAGAATCTGATTCACAATTTTAAACAATCTTAGAAAAGATTGCAATTATTTGTTTAAAAGATTTCTATTAATTGGACTTAAGACAGACAGGGCATTCATATTAGGTGAGCCAAACTGATCGGGAAGGTGCAAGGTTTAGAGACACTTTGTTTGGTATTGTTCTTTGAGTGGTGGGTTGGTGGATATTTAATCAAGTGTTTAAGTGCTGTGGGAGGGCTATTGTTTCCTAATAGCCTTGGTCAGTATAAGGAGGAGAGAACCTGGACCTCCATCCACTAATGACTTTGTATTTGACTCTGTAAGACTCCAGCAGCAATATTGGCCAGGAGTTGCAAACGGCGTATCAGTTCCAGCCCTAATTTGCCAGACGTGAGTTTTCCGACTTAGTAAGGATAACTACTTCCTGTATGTCAAGGAATTATGATAAATTCTATGTTTAGACACAGACATGATTCTGCCTGCCATGTCTAATCCTCATTTGGTTTCATCCCTGAAAATTTGTTGGAATTTGACAGATGGAGAGACCAGAGGCTGAATTACCTTATTTGATTTTTTTATTAGAGAGGGCAAGATTATCTTCATGTCCCTTTGCTTGGCACGTTAGACTGATTCCCTTCAGTTCAGGTGTCGAAGTGTATCTTGTTACTCTTATCTGTCAACCCCAGTGGCCAAAATCATAAATGGAGAAATTGAAAATTTAATTTGAATGAGATAAATGCAAAATACTGATTTTCAACGGTAGAGTGCTTGCATTATTCATTAAAGGTTGTAGATTGTCTAACTCTTAAGAATTGGGTTTCAAAATTAGTTTGGATTTTTATAAGCTGTTTAAATAAATGATTGAAACTAAAGAGAATTGTATGAAACACCAGATAAAATGTGTTATCATATTTGAGCTTTGTGGAACTGTATTTTGTAAAGGTTATTATATGAATTATTGATTAACAATTCAAGTCCTAGAGCCTTTTAAAATATATAATATTTGTATGCAAACCCAAACATCTAACTTAAATTATGTTGGTTCATATTCAACAACTTTGTATGTTTATGCTGGAATGATGTTATCAATTCATGGAAAAAATGCTTATTTTGCAATTATCAATGTGTTGCTGGATTCTTAGCGTTCCTCATTTTACACAATCGCCATGGCTGTTACTAGAAACATCAGAAGCAATTCCTTGCTGGATCATGAATGTTATATGTTCTGCCAGAATTTAATGAAATTTTGCATGCTTGAAGAACATTAAATTGTTCAATTGTGTTGGCAAGATTTCCATTCTATCTTCTTTGATGTAGGCTGCCGAATACTTGATAACTTGGGCATATTGTCAGCATCAAAGAGAAGCCGTGCTTGATCTGGATTGCAACAACACTATTAGAACTGATTAGCAAATTGTTAATCCAGTTAGGCAGCAGGTTGGGGATTAGTGAAATCCACCAAATTGTGCATCTTTACTAATTATACAATTCAAGCTATTTATAGTTTGAATTTGTAAATGTGCTACATGATTGTGTGAAAGAAATTTCAGAAACATGTGTTTTTAGCAAGTTAGGCATGTTCAGGGTTAGAAGAACCCAACTATTTGCTTATCGAAGCGAATTTTTTAATTTAAGTTTCTTTTGTTTTGAACTGAAATGTTCAAGTGTTTCCTATATATCAGAAATGTTTGGATGTTTATATATGCTTTATATGCACGATATCAGTGTACTAAGTAGCCTTTCGTGCATTTATTCCAAGAACCTGTTCTGGAACTCCATAAATTTCTCTTTCAGTTCTCATAAACAAGGATAATGGTAAATATAATGAGTTCTAGCAGACAAATAAATTTTGGATTTTTCTCCTGCTCTGAATTTTCCAGCTCAGCCATCGACTTCTTTCATCAACCAGCTTTAGTAATACCTTCACAATGAGAAATTGTGCATGCATCGCTATCTAAATATGCCATAAAGAAATATATTAAGATCCACAAAGTCAGTATGAATCAATATCCTTTTCATTTGTTAAATGCTCTTGTTCAGACCAACGTGTTTCCTATTCGCTCCTTCAAGTCCTGACAATAATGTAAACTGGCGACAAGTACCACTAATTCAAACCAAGCTGTTGCACCATTGAACAAATGTCACGCTTTCGTTCACAACTGAAAACATGAAAATAGCAAATAGAACAATGCTAACAACAAAATATCACCAAAGGGGATTTTTGTATTTTGAGACAGATGTAAAGAAAACACTGTGAAACCTCCGGCTGCACGTTTGTTGGAGTTAAGTTATCAAGTTTAGTCCATTTATCAATAAAATGAGGTATTGACGAATTGGATGCATTATGCCACATGTTGCCTCATGCATAATTACTGGAGGACAGCACGACCAGCTTCTGGTAGAATAGCTGCATAAACATTGACATGAGGGCTAATCCTGTTGGGAGCTAATTAGGTGTTGATGTACCTGTACCTACACGTTAATCAGGGTATTCACACCTACCTGGATCATATATAGGAAATCTATGGTTACCTGGACCTACACAGTGCCCGTGAGAAGATAGGGTGTCGTGGATTTTTGCTGCTTCTATTACAGCTGTGTGTGTGACGCCAAGTGGAGTACTTGCTCACATCTTGATGTTTTGATGAACAGGAACTGGCAAGGGTTAGGTTTTGTAATCAGTAAGTAAATACATTGTCATGGTACTTACCTTATAATGGGGCTGTAATGAAGTGTTTAAGGACTCTCCATGTTTCACTAAACTGTAGAATGTTTAATTGTGAATTAGTTATGATAAACATGCAGTTGTTTTTAGCGTGGATTTCTTTTCTGTGAACTGTGAGTTTGTTTTTGTGATAACATGAATTTGGTTTGTAATATGTTTTGATCTTAATAATTTAAGTCCACACTCTAAAGAAATGGGTTAGTGTCAAATCCATTGAGATAACAAACTATTTCCAACTAGAAAATCAAGTACAAAAGATGTTTGTTTGAGAGGATGCAAATGATTATTTATTGCTTAAATTATAAAATTTTATTTAAATAATCCAAAAAGTTCTGCTATTAGATCCTGACAAATATAAATTTCATGTAAATTTTGTTTCATTGACAGACACATGGTAGTTGGTTGATTGATTTGCAATATTTTCAATAATAGACCAGAAAGGTTTCTGTGTATGGACTTTTAAGAGTGTTTCAAGGATTTTGAAATTGAACTGGAATATATAATAGTTGATGTGTTTGAATGCTTCGATGACTCAGTAGTTACATCCACATGTCTCATCAAACGTTGTATTCCAGTTTCAGGCATATGGCTAATTGTGTCTCGAATAATGGCCTTCATGGCTTGTAAGCAGAACAAGCATTCATCTAGTTCACTTTCAGTAGCAATATTTCAACATCTGTGCATATAGATGTAATTGAAAAAAAATTTAATAATTCAAAATGTGTCACCATATCTCAGTACTGTAGTACCTAGGTCATGAATAGTTAACATTAAACTTGTGAAAAGTATGTATTCATTTGGAAATGTTTGTCACATGGATTTTGATATCAACCCATGATTTCAGCTTATTGTAGCCATCCCTTGCAATGAAGCAATGTTTATAAGATATCTTTATTATAAACCTGATTGGAACTTAAACTCAACACCTGTCTGTTATTCAGGTGCTGTATTTCATTGGTGAAGTAACATTTGATGTTTATGTACGAAAGATGGCAATGATATGTTCGTTGTGGTTACTCCTGGAGATAAATTACTACAAGACCAAGAAGACTGTTTGTGATATCTACCTGACACCATGACTCGTATTACATAGATTGCTAGCTGATATTGATAATATATACTGTATCACCTCAAGGTGTCTCAACTTGTTGTAACATTGTAGCTTATACGTATCACAGAGTAGAAAAACATTCAACACCTGTTCTTCTTGTCTCAACTTCTAGTTATGTCTGTTTCTGTTTAAACTTGAATTCATTCTCCTGAACAGTAACAGTGTAAATAAACATTATATCATTTTATGATTAATCTAATGTGGGGTGTCTGTTTGTATTGGATGTTATTCTGTGTCATTTTTCTCTTTAGAAGTATTCAAGGTTAGTGGGAGTATTAAGTTTCATAATGTGTGCCCATGTCATTCCAGCCATTTAGTCTAAGTGTGGGTACTAGACTCCTGTCTGTCAGTAGATATCCAGTGTCACCCCTGCTTAACACTGGGGGTTTGTGTGATGTGCCTAAAGCATGTAATACAGCATTCACAGAGATGTGTGTATACAAGCGTATGTTCCAGCCTCTATCCTTTATTCACCGGATGTTATACGGATATATTGCAGGCAGGGTATAGACACTGTTACAGGCTTGTATTGACCAGCTAGCTGGTGTGTATACATGCGTATCCCCAGTAGTGTCTGGAAGGGATAGACTGACGATGGAGGGTGTGAGTCCTATTTGCCTTATGTACTGTATATCGTTCTTTCTGGATCCATGTTGACCTTAATGGTAGAAGATATCAGGGTTCAATACTGTCAAGGTGAGCTGTCAAATGTTAGATCCAGTGAATATTATTCCTCACCTCGCAGTTAGTTGGAAATGTGGATGACTATTTGATTCTAATGATTGCAATGACTGCAAGCTGCAATGCTCTGGGATTCTGATCCCTTAGTCATCAGAAGGTGCAGTTCAGCTGATGCAAAAGGATGTTTTGGGCATCAATCTTTTATCTAATCAGAAAATCCCAATTCCATCATTTATTCTATCTTGTCTGCCATCATTGAGTGAGTGAATCACATTAAATCTAGATGTTAATTGTGATATGAATATTCCAAGGCTCTATCGTGACAGGTGGTTGCTTTTGTGGGTGATAATAGATGTGGTATTGTCATACAATGTGTACACTAGTAAGTATGTATAAGTAGCAACTGTGTGTTAATTGCCTGTAACCAATTCTAATTCCATGATGTTGTGATTTAATTTGCCCAATATCAAGACATCAAACCAGGAAGCCCAGAATGAACAGGTGGCAGCAAAACAAGACAGATGAACTTGTTTTTATAGGTCTTCTTTGTGAATAAGGGCAACCATTAAACTAGCAATGGACCCCACGGTAGGCTGATGAAAGAAGTCGAGCAAATCCATGTATTCAGGAAAGGTGAGATAAATCTCTGAATTCTATAGACAGGGTTTTTTGCCACAACTGTTGCTCTTCTTTAGAAGTTCATTTTCATCACCTAGAAGGCTCAGTTGATCTCAAACATTGCCATCAGCAATTGCTGAGGGCACATTGCATGTACTGTACTCACACGAAACCAGAATATTTTTCAAGCCGTTGAGCATGAGGTAGTATTTTGATCCACTTTGTGTGGACTTTTAGCTCATTAGTAGCCAGCAGAGCTGTTTGTAGTAGGAGTTTGTCGGTTTCATTGTACAGAAGTATCTCCCCAGGTCATGTTCATCCTGTAGGTCGAAGGAACGACAGGAAATGTTATTGATGAGGATATGAAGCGTATTTGTTTAGGAGTTCATGTTTTGCTTGTTTGTTGATATTTTGTATTTATGTATGGTATTTTGGTTATGGCTTACAGATCTTCAATGGCTAGGACTGGTTTGAAAGCTCCTTAGCGGTTCAAACCTTTCCATGTTTAGTTAGGCATTCACTTCAAGAATTGTGTTGGAATAAATAGTTTTATATTGTTTAAACATCTTAGTATTTGCATTGTGCTGAACAAATATTAGTTGTAAATTAGAACGGCATACAAACCATAATTGAACTGAGAAAATGTAATAGCATACATTTTAGAATCTCTAGTATTTAGTCAGTAAAATGTCTTGCATAAAAACTGTATGAAATGAAAAGCAAACTGACTATTTGATCAGTCAGTTAAATCTTCACACCCTCTTCCTCATTTTCCTTATCCTGTTCATTAATTCACCTTTCTGAAGTCTTTAGCTCACCTGTGCTGATGAGATTTTCTCACCTGTTCCATTGTTGAAGCCTTCAGAAGTCCCTCTATGATATCCCTGCAGGGGTTTTAAGTAGGGCAGCTAAAAGCCTTCCAAATTAGACAACACCTTTAGACCAGGAGAATACTGGAGCTGCCTTTGATGTCCTTAATGTGGCCATATGTCCTCTCCACTTACAGTTGTTGACATCTTCATTAAAGGTCTTTAAAATTGATTTTCATTGATTTCTAATTGTAGTTGATACTTTGATATCTTACTTTTAAGTCAACATGCCTCAGAAATTTTATGGGACCAATTTTAACATAAAATCAACTGTGATTGAAGACTGTATAATCATTGTGAATATTTAAAGAGGGAAAGATGTCTACAGGTAAACCTCAGCTTCAAGTCTTTTTCATTTGTCTGTTCTGAAAATATCAAAGTGCATATCTCCGGCGTATTACTTCGATATTAAATCAGTATTAAAATGGGTAATTGCACATGAAAACAGTGGAGGTCTGTTACAAAAATATACAGGAAGTAGATAAATTGAGTGTTTTCGTGAATTTCCAAAATTTTATAAATCAGTTCATAAGTGAAATGGTAGTCAATATTATCAAGAAGTACACAAAATAAAGTTTTGAAATAATCTTCCTGCCTGTGTCCCAACTCTGCTTCTTGCTTGACATGAGCCTGTCAACAGAAACAAGGGGTGCAATGTGATCCTGAGACAAGGCCCTTGTACTCTGTACAGCCAGCTGGTAACCCTACCACTAGATAATTTCTGGCTTCCTTGGGGTTAATCAAACGGAACCCATTATCATTATACATTTGATATAACACTATTCTACTCTTTAGAAAAGTATACCTGATTTCTTGCCAAAATTCACGAGGCACAAGCGTTGACATGTTACACAGACACTCCTTTGTAGAACAATATTATCAGTTGATAGCATCTAGTTATGGCTTTTTTCAGGTGTAATTGTTGACTGTCGTGAATCTAAATTGCCATATATACTGAATAATGGAATCACTCATGTATGTAGTTGATAATGGTTTTGAGATGTTAGAACTTGAATTTTGTGTTTTAATGAAGTAGTTTGCTGCTTCTTTGAGAGGCATTTTAGAAGTTGTAAAGGTGAAGGAAAACCAAGTTCTGTGGATAGTCTTCTTGATTGCAGCGTTTTTGGTTGGTACTAACACTGTTATCAAGCAAGTGATACTGTATTAGAATATAACAATCGTGATCCAACTGAAACAGGTCATAGAACAAATGTAGCAGGGCGTGGAGTCATCCCACAGATGACATCTTTACCTTTACATGACTATTTAACTATCTTTGGTCATGTGGACAATTTCTTGCAGAAGGTCCGTGGTTTGAATCCCAGCCCTTGGGAATTATACATCTGGGGCTTGGTCATGTGGAGTAAAATAAGTCTCAGGATCGATACTATGCGGCTCGGGTGCCTTCTGTTGTCAGAAGGTCCGTGGATGGAGTCATCCACAGATGATCCTTACCTTTTCAGCTTGGTACTGACTTAACCTCTTTGGTCATGTGGACAAGGTCCGACTTCGGATCAGAAGGAACAGCCCTTGACTCGGAAATTTTATGGCCGCTACACAAACAGCTTTGGTTTTATTGTAATTACAAACCTGTAAAAGTCACAACATGGGCTAAATATTAGTAATGGTTAAGTATTGCAGAATCACTCGGCTGTTTTTGAAAGACATTCATCTTTT